TACTCGGAGGGTCAGGCCAAGAAGCAGATGCTCTGGTGGCACAAGCAGACGGGCATCCTAATGCTGGTGGCACTTGTCTTCCGAGTGATCTTCCGAATGCAGAGCGGCATCCCACCGCGCTTCCCTGGCAACAAGCTCGTGCAGATGATCGAGACACAGAGTCTGCGGGCTTTCTATGCCTTCGCCCTGCTGCTGCCTGTGTCCGGCATCGCCAACGAGTACTTCCTCAAGTGGGCCCCGGGCTCCGACAAGACCGGCAACGCCGAGGACGACCGCAGGAACGACCGCCTCGCCAAGCAGTCCATCGACGCCCACAAGGTCCTGGGCAAGGTGCTGCAGTATGCCTGGCTGCCCTTCCACCTGGGCTACACCACCCTCTACCATTACTCCCAGGGCCGGGGGGTCGTCCGCAAGGTCTCCCCCTTCATCTGAGATGATATCCATCCTCTGATTGGAGATCGTAAGACTCCGAATTGTTTGCGTCAGTAGCGCTAGTGATTTGCATGTCTCACCTTTTTCAATGCTTTAGACTCGTCCTTCGGCTTCTGAAGACGGTCACATGCACAGTCGAAGCCATGATGTTGCGGGCTTTTGCATGGCAGGGATCAGCATTGCCGTGCCTGACCACGCAAGCCCGGGTTTTGGGTGCTCTAGTTCGATAGCTCGACCACCAGGCGTCGATTCAATGACGGTATCTGGCAAGTCATCGAGAGCGCAGCATTGTTCCGTTCCGGACACGGGAAAAGGGTCCTTTTTTGGCAAGTTCCCGGAGCAAGGTTCATTAATAATAAACCCAAAACCCCTAAACCCAAAACCCCTAAACCCTAAACCCTAAACCCTAAACCCTGTCAATTCCTAGGCCATGGCTTCGCAGTAGGTTGAAAGCGCCAAGGCAGGGAGTGGGCGAGGATTCCGGTGCTGCAGGCGCCTCCATTAGCAACATTTGTAGTCAGAATAGGGTTTAGGGTTTAGGGTTTAGGGTTTAGGGTTTAGGGGTTTAGAATAGGGTTTCCGGCGTACATTATGGTTTTTCGGGCTACAAGAGGATAGAGGGCCGTACGTCGAAACAGGTGGTCTAGCACCGATGCAGCTCACGCTTGCGGCTGTTGCTTGAAATTGCGGAGTTGCACCTAGAACTACCTTAACCTGGGGTTGTTAGGACTTTAAGGGGCTAGTATATGTTTACGGGCGACTAGAATACTATAAATGGTACTTTTCTGGAAGTGTTGTTTGGACCCTCATGTAGAATTTATGGGGACCATCCACAAAAATCTGGCGTTCGGTGTTTCCAGCTCTGGCAGAGGGTGTGCACACGAAGAGTCTGCCGAAGCGTTTTGCCGATCTCGAATCATTCTTTGCCGCACAGTTTATTTTCCTTCCTTCCTGTCTCTTGGCGAGCTGTTGAGACTTCGGAGGTTTGTGGTCTGCCGTAAACTTGTAGAATTACTCTTGCCATCCATAGTACGTAGTAGTATGTAGCCCGTGTGGATGGTAGTAGAGTTTACTCAAAGTGCTGTTCATACGAGAAAGGAAGCTGTACCTCAGAGATTTGTGCTTATCTAAGCCTTCTCTGAGGGACTCTTGCTCTAGCTGGCAAGAGACGGGCTCAAGATGTAGAACGCGGATCTTTAGGGTTAAGGGTTTGAAGTAGGATCCATTTTGGGTCCAGGCTCTTGACAGGGATCTATAAGAGTTTCTACAGGGTTTCTATAGGGGCTTAAACCCTAAACCCTAAACCCTAAACCCTAAACCCTAAACCCTAAACCCTAAACCCTAAACCCTAAACCCTAAACCGTGCACTTGCACTCTTCAAGGTGGTCATTCCCGATGTTTCCGATGGCCCAAGGCCATGTCGTGCCTTTGAAGCTGGGAACCCCCGGGCTCCATGTAACACCCCCTGGGTAACCCTAGGGGTTTAGGGTTTAGGGTTTAGGGTTTAGGGTTTAGGGTTTAGGGTTTAGGGTTTAGGGACCCTCAATTCCATCAAGACCCGAAACATCCCTAATGCAGTAGAAATTTTAGATCCTTTCCTCGCAACCAAGGTGCCATGTAGAATCCCCAAGGCAACTCCGGAGTAAAGAATCGTAAGTCCCCCGACCTTACATCTGAATTTCAAAAGAGCCCGAAGCCTTGTTGAAAACAGTATAAAACCGACCACCTCCTTCGAAAACCCATGTTTCCTGCCGGGGCACCGCAAAGGTTCTTTGTGAGTTAAGGTTCCGGAAAAGGCCCACAAAACAGTACGTCGTGGTACCCGAGGTCGAAACCCTAATAAACACTAGACCGAACCGACAGCTCGCCCAGGACGGATCATGGCGGCAATGTACACCGACGAGCATCCTGCGAGTGCGTCTTGTCTTCTCTGATGTCTATTGATACTTAATAATACTGACGTTCATACGTGTTATGGTTGTCAATCTTTGTGATTATTCGCATGGTCATTTCAAGTCATGCATTCATACAGAATGCTTCTTACATCATGTTTTCTGAATAAGGAAAATTTACAGTAGCTTGTGTGGTGTTGATCTTCCCGTCCAGCCACAGGAGAACCGCTTACTCGCTGTAGCAACATAAAGCCACATGTTAGACGGATTTATTCCTGATCTTCTTTCCGTCTGTTAACTTACAAGCGTGTGGTTTTGGGGGCTGTAGGTCAACCCGCGGTTCAGAGGCAATGGACCAATCATTAGACTCCGCACCCTAAAGCCGTAAACCCGTCGCGTGCAAAGTTCTCGAGTTCAGCGACTTTCATTGCCGCATGTGCTTTTCTTAGCATCCAATGTTTGTAGCTCCACCTGCACAGCTGAGCGATAGTGTAGACCCTAAACCCTAAACCCTAAACCCTAAACCCTAAACCCTGAACCCTAAACCCTAAACTCTAAACCCTAAACCTTAAACCCTAAGCCCTAAGCCCTAAATTCCGCAAGCATTGAGCCCGAAGCCTTGAGATGCTCCAGGCCCAGATTTAAGCACCAGGTGGTCACCGCCCGCCTTGTTCAACCGAAACCTGAAGCCCTTTTCTCGCAGGAGGGCTTAGGGTTTAGGGTTTAGGGTTTAGGGTTTAGGGTTTAGGGTTTTGGGTTTGGGGTTTAGGTTATACTTTCGCAGGTCTCGCAAAGGAACGCTAGAGCCCACTAAAGGCCGTGTGGGTACCGTTTATTTTTCCCCAAAGCCCCTAAACCCTCCACCCCGGAGCACCGAAACAAGGTCCCTGAGAGCAAGCAGCGCGTCATCCACGAGCCCGGCACGTCGGCCATCTCGAAGAACATCCCACTTTCGGAGGCCGGTTTAGGGTTTAGGGTTTAGGGTTCAGGGTTTCGGGTTTCGGGTTTAGGGTGTAGGGTTTAGGGTTTAGGGTTTAGGGTTCCCAGGACGTGGAGGTTGTTGGAAAGGTCCGTGTAAGGAAGGACCATGAGGAGTGCACTTCCTTACCAGAAGATCCCGGCAAAGAAGGTTGCCGTACCCAAAACGGCTATCAACAGCAACATAAATTCAGTGCAACTTGAACACTGCAACTAACCCTACTACACCATGATTCCCATAGTTTAGCCGTTTAGCGTACTTGAGGCTTGAGGTGGATGCCGGAGTTTTTGGATGAGCAGCAGTAGGTATGGTCACTAGGACGTTCGGACTTGATTCCATAGTGGTGCACAGTGCTAGGGTAGCAGTCACGGAAATGCGAGCCGGGACTGCGATTTGTTGCCATTGATTGATGCAATATGCTGTATTGCATGTGCTTTCTTGGCCTTGATTAATTTCGCGTAAACTTGGCGAGTTTGGTGAGACTCGTAGAAACTTTGATCCGTGAGGAAGTAGACGTCTTTGTTTCATGCTGGCCTTACAGATTCTTCGTACATCCTCACCATCGCCATCTCGCCAACACGGTCATCAGAAGGGATCACGAGCAATGCCATGCCCGGAAACCTCAGCACCCTCGAAGCCCCAACCCGAATCCCGTTTTGAAAATGCGTGGCTCTGATTTTTCCGGGTGGAAAGCTCCCGAGAACCAGACCCCAAGGCCGTGGTGAAATCTAGAAGCCTGAAGTCTTCAGGGCTTCGGGGTTTATGGGTTTTGGGGGGTTTAGGGTTTAGGGGCTGTTGCGGTTTACGGCTTTACGGCCTCTTTTCGCTTAGAGTTTCGAGCTCTTGTCGTCGCCTCTTCTAACTTTTATATAACTGGGTTTAGGGTTTAGGGTTTAACTGTAACCCCTGTACCCCAAACTCAAAAGCTTAAGCTATGTAAACCGGGTCCAGGTAAACCGCCACTGCACGCCGGAGAACTGCTGGGTGGCCTTGAATGGCAAGGCAGGGCTGGTTTTGGTGCCGGTAATATTAGGGGCCTTAATAATTAGAATGGGCTTTTGGGTATTTTCATACTATAAAAGTAGTAAGGAGCCCACAAAACCCTATTCTAATTATTAAGGCCCCTACATTCGATTCCAAGACCCGGAAGCTGTAAGCAGTACTGCATGATCCCGGGATTGAATGATTATGCTCGCTGGGATGCTACACTCTCGCGGGAGAGGGACAACTTTGAGAAAACTCTGAAACCTAAGCCTCAGCAGCAGTCTGCGCTTATTCGCACCCTGAGCACGAGCCTCAAAGCTCAGCCATCGCCACTGTTTCTTTCAAGGCTGCACGAACTCGAGATTCTAACATGGGTGTTCCTTTTGCATTGATTGTGATTTTAGATTCGTCGTGTCCATCCTGTGGGGAAAATCAACGATCATCGTCTTGAGTCCTTATGCCCCGAGCCGCTCAACCCCACCCCTTGCCCAAGCCTGAACCCTCAACCCTAAGCCTTCGACATGTAGACTTGCGCGAAACGGATGTACACCTCGCATCTAGGCCCTTTCTATATCTGTATCTAAATCTATGTATATATATATATAATCTATGTATACATATATACATATATATATATATATATATATTATATACACACACACACATAATCATATATATATATATATATATGAAGAAACCCACAGCACTTTCTGAAACCCCAAAAGATCTGCACAAGACCCCATGAAGCCCTCACAGACATCCTACAGAACCCCTAGTAAAACCCGTAATGTAGGGCCCGAAATACATGCCAATATTATTTTTTTGGGGGTTCCTTATTATAAGTATAGTAACAGTAGAATGGGCCCAAAAACCCCATTCTAATCATTACGGCCCCTACATTACAGAACCTCTTGCCGTAACCCTCATAGGACCCCTTTCCTTGTCTAAACAGAACCCCTAAACCCTGAACCCCAAGCCCTTAGAACACCCTCAAGCCCCAAAAGGTCTACGACCTCTCGGAGTTCATGGATCGCCACCCCGGTGGCCCCACGACCATCCTCGCCTGGGCCGGGAAGGACGCCTCGAAGTTTTTCAATGACATCCACAAGGGTGTGAAGATGCTTGGTGGTTTTTAGTAGAGGCCGTAGGGGTACTTAGAAATCATTTTTAATTTTTGGTTACTATAAACCCTAAGAAGCAGATAAAATATAATTGTTGCTAGGGGTCCAAGTTCAGTATAGAAGCCAGAACGTTGGAACATCAATATCCTCATGCCCTTCAGGTAAACTTAAGCCCTACCCTAAACCCTAAACCCTAAACCCTAAACCCTAAACCCTAAACCCTAAACCCTAAACCCTAAACCCTGAACCCTAAACCCGTAAAGTAGAGGGGATCCGGGCACCAATCCTCCGGAGACCCATGGTCCAAGTTTCTGGGGTTCACTGTAGGAGTTTAGGGTTTAGGGTTTAGGGTTTAGGGTTTAGGGTTTAGGGTTTGGGGTTTAGGGTTTAGGGTGTATGTCTATGTTGTCAGAAGGTTTTAAGCGGTCTCTCTATTGCAAGATCTGGCGTTAGGAAATCTTGATTATGAGGGTTGGGGTGTATTTTGCGGCTTTCCAAGATGCCAGGTCCAGGATGGATGGGTTTGCACTTTTTTTCCTGCAGGTTGTTTTTAGAGCTTGCGTTTGGAGTTCATAAACTCTGAGGTTAGTATGGTGAGGTGTTTGGATCGTTCGTGCGAAGGTTGCTTCCGAACTTCCTTGATGTCCGTTTTGACCGAACGACCCTGAAAACTATGTCCTCTGTAGTCACACATCCCTATGGGACATTACCCCTTAGCTCTTTTGGGTTTCATGTGGTCCTCAAGGGCTGATCCAGGATCGACGCTGACTCGCGGCCTGAAGCTAAAGACACTACAGCCCCATGTTCTTAAAGGAACCCTACACCCTCTTAAACCCAGAAGCGCTTAAAACCTAAACCCTGAAACCGAAACCCTAAACCCCTAAACCCTAAACCCTGAATTTCAAGCCCTAAACCGCGATCCTAAACCCTAAACCCTAAACCCTAAACCCCAAACCCTAAACCCGAAACCCTAAACCCTGAACCCTGAACCCCGAACCCTGAACCCTACACCCTAAACCCTGAATCCTAAACCCTAAACCCTAAACACTGAACCTCGAACCGAGGATCGACGCCTACTTGCGGCCGGAAGCCTTCCTCGGCGACTTGGGCGTGGACGGAGATCTGATGTCCGACGAGTACTGGCACCAGCTCCGTGAGGTGCGTGGTACTACCTATAGTCTCCATTGTAGTTCCTTTTTGGGGATACCTTATAAACTCGTTAATATATGTTTGGTTAAACCAAAAAACGGAACTACAATGGAGACTATAGGTAATATATAACTTTAACTATTACATGAGTTTCAGAATATATTATAGGGGCTTTAGTAAGCATCTATCTACATACTATTTTGGGGCTTTAATAACTCTAATACTTATGCAGGAGTTTCATAATACAATAGACGGGCTTGAAAAGTTATCTAAATACTGTTTTGGGGGCTCCTTATTATAACTGTAGTTAGAGGGGCTTTAGTAGTAATGAGCTATGGTGGTCGTAGTAGTAATAATGATAGTAATCGTATTAGGAATCCTGCCTACACATTGCAAACCAAGAAGACTAGTAACAACAGTAACAAGAATGTGGTGATGATGAGGACGATCAATAATGCCAATAAAAATACAACAGTGATGCAAACAAATGTACTACTGTTTATGGCAATATAAACAATGTAAAGGAGAAGAAGAATGTTGGTAAATCGGATCTCAAACCGTGGCAGACAATCCTGGAATCTCCGTGGTATGTGGTAAGCATGATGCCCTATAGATGGTATGAGCACAGTGTGAAACAACAGCATGCAACAGCAACGTAATGAAGATCATTCAGACTAAGACTACTACTACTACTACTACTACTACTACTACTACTTCTACTTTGCCTGCCTGTTTGCCCTGCCTGCCTGCCGGCCTGCGTAGAAGCACTGGCACGCGCAGGCCCGCATTGTGGAGATCCGCCAGGAGGTGGAAAACCTGCTCCATCGGTGCACCAAAACGCACAAGGCCGACGCTTCTGATCTTGCGTGATCAAGTCTCCGAAGAGGAGAGCGTTTGTTTTTAAGGCTTATTTCTTGCAGTCGGGGCCATTGGGTTTGTGGAAGGAGATCTACGGAGAGGGTTTCGTATTTTGCAGTCACTAGGTCAGGGTGGGAATAGCTGCAACACTAGCCCTCAACTCTGTGCAGGCAGCACGTAACGGAGATACTGACGATAGATGTCATTTAGACTTACGGATGCATTGGTCGCTGTCCCCAAGATGCAACCTCTCGCTCGCAGCACTTTCCGAGTTCAATGTTCAGTCGTTGCCCCCTTTGTCGTCCTGAGACTGTAGAGAAAGAGCACCAAAAACCAGACAGGGATCTGCCTCGCGCACAGCCTCTAACTTCTTGGTCAAGCGGCCTTTCCGAAACTCATCCCTGATCTCTCCGCTTAAACCTTGAACCGACAGCTTGCATGGTTTCAACCTTAGACACTGAGATTGGTGGGAAGTGTTGCTTTGACGTCAGCATAGGGTCGAAGAGCTCAATCCGGGAAATCCAAAACCCTTGAACCGTAATCCCCTAAACCGGGTTCAAGCACAACTCAGACTGCTTCCTCCAATCCAATGTTTTTCTGAACCTGCTCAAAATTGGTTTTGCTTGAATCCCACACGCTATACAGGTTGGCCAGCTGTGGAACTAAAGCTCGAGTGAAACCATACTGGAAATACGACCTCCTAAATCACAGTAGAGACAGGTAGAGACAAGAAGCAGCAATTCATGACCATAACCGCCATGAAGGCAGACAAGGGTTTTGTGCAGAGAGCACCTATTGGACTACTTCCTGCAATGAGCCCGTGGACCAGCACATACTCCAAATAGGCTCCCCCCAAACCCCCCAATGCCGAAAAACCGATAACTCTGGAAAGCTCATCCACAGACCAACCAAACCCTAAACCCTACCCTAAACCCTAAAGCCTAAGCCCTAAACTCTAAACCCAACCCCCAACGCATGTCGCAACCCTCAATCCGGACAAATCAAAGACCACCACAGCACCTGTCACAAACTTGGAATGAATTCCTACAGACACTAAGCCCTAAACCCTAATCCCGGAACCCTAAACCCTAATCCCTAAACCCTAAACCCTAAACCCTAAACCCTAAACCCTAAACCCTAATGCCTGAACCCTAAAGGCCCTACTGTACCCTAAAGCAAACTATTGGGATGCCAGCACGAATCATCCTGTTTCCCGCTCTCAGCCGTTTCGATTGCTGTTGCTCCTCTGAACCTGGCAGCCCTGAGCCCCATAATTCGTCAACCCTATAGAGCCTAAAGCCTTGAAGCCTTAAGCCCCTAAACCCCTAAACCCTAAACCCTTAAACCCCTAAACCCTAAACCCCTAAACCCCAAGCCCAAAACCCTAAACCCTAAACCGTAGACCCTAAACCCTAAACCTCTACACCCCTAAACGC